GCGTCCCCGCCGTCCTCCCCGCCGCTCTCGGGGTTCCGAGTGAAGGCTGTGCTCATAGCAACTTACTTATACGTATGCACATCCCAGGATCTGGAGTGTGGACTTTTTATGTATTATGTATGCAATGTGTGTGTATAAACATTTTTAGGCATGTGTATACATACGCATACATTTTCCTTGGGGGAAATGGTAAAGTTTAAGCACTGCCTGCAGTGTCTGGAAAGCGATCTCCGAAGGAGCCCTGAGCCCCCAGGCCCCCTGTATCTGCATCCCTGGAGCTCCGCAGTGCTCCACGCGGAGCCTGTGCCGTGGACATTTATTCGTTCAGTTCTGTTCTCCGAGCGCCTGCTGTGTGCCAGGCACTGTGCTAGACACGCGGGATACAAAAGATTGACATTCCGGCCCTCTGGGTTTGCCAGCAGTTCAGATGGACAAGTACCCGTGGTGCCTGTCTTTGGGGCCCAGCACTGAGCTAGTTACTGCACAGCAGGGGAGACGAATCGCAGCAGGGACTTCAATTAAGAATCTCACAAGAGAGCAGAGAGATGATGCGGGTTCAGAAATACCGTTAGTCTTCCTTAGACAAAAACATGTGGTGCATTAAGGATTCGGAGTTGGAAACAGTGACACAGCCTCCGACGTTAGGGTCAGGAAGCTTCCTGGGGCAGATGGCATTAAGACTTTATATGATAGAGTGTGTGGCATGTGCACTTAATCTGATGAGAAGTGGAGAGCCATTAAATGTTTTCAAGTAAAGGAATTTTTGTGATGAGAGCTAGGTTTTGGGGGGAGGGTTGTTTGTTTTTTTAAGATCTGTCAGCAGAATGATTATTGGATGGTAAAGTTGTAAGCAGGACAGCCAGATAGGGAACTATTGCAATAATCTATGGAAAGCAGTAAAATCCTTGGTAGTAAACTGGCATTGGAGAATGAAAAGATAGAAGATGAATTAGAGCTTACATTGCAACTGTAGAATCTTCAGGAGCTGAGAAAAGATTAGATTTAATTTTCCTACCTAATTATGTTTTACTTAAATTATTATTTAAATTAGTTGGCATTCCTAGAGCAGCCCAGAAACATCCTAACTGAAAGGAGAAGCCAGATTGCAAATTAAAAGTGAATAATCCCCACATGGATAATTGAGTTAATTATACAGTGTGTTGAACACATACAAATACATTTGGTTCCACAACACTCCACACATTTCCCAATTTATATAGTATCTGAAAAAGATGTCTGTGAATCTACATAAATTATGGGTCTCTGATACAAACACAGATTACCTTACCCGGCACAATTTTAATAGGGCCCCAGTCCCCTCAACATTAAAACCATTTCCCTTTTGTCTTGATGCATTGCCTGAAGGAGAGCCCACTAGCCAGCTAAAACTATTTTGAATCTCTAGTGATGTTTACCTCTTCCCTCAGTTTCCTTCAAAACCATACCTGGGCTTTTGAGCAAAAGAACAGCCAGATGGTTTGAGCCCTGAATCTGTGCGACCTGAAGCAAAGCACTTTCCCTCACCAAGTTTCCTATTCCTGATCTGCAAGATGGAGGTGAGAATAATGTCTGCTCCTCTGGGCTGAGGTGAGAATGAAACAGGCTGATATATACGTGCAAGAATCATGCTACCTTCCCTTAGAGAACAAAGCACAGACTTCCAAGGTTTTAGCCAGAGTGTCCAGTGGACGCAGAGAGCTCTCACTCTATTTCTCTTCATTTTCACTGATGGGGTGGTCACTTCTTACTACTTGTTCCTATGAAAGCTTGATGCAGTGAATAATTTCACCCCTTAAAGGAGACCCTCAGCCAAAATATTTCTGTAGTCTCTGGAGTGCAGGCATATACATAACCATGGAAAAGTCCTTATTGTCGTCTACCTGTTGCCACCTGCTAGAAAGCAGGAGAGGTACCTCCTGGGGGTGTGCCTCCTTAACCACACTTGACTCCTAACCCCTAAACCTGTGAATCCAACTTTTTGATGGATCCAAAGCCCAGATCTCCTGCCCCTGATCTCTTTTGGCTACTAAACCTGAATGCCCCAAAGTTTCTTCCATACCCTTGCCTTTATTGCAAACTTCTACCAAGTCCACCTTTTTTTAATATTCTGTGTTAGACTGGGTTCTCTAGAAAACGACCTGAGTTACATGCTGAGGGTTCATTGGAGGGCTGTAATTGTCAGGAAGTAGGAGTGAGGGCAAAGGGAAGGGAGGAAGGAGGAAAGCAAATACAAAATGGCATGTTCTCCAGCTGTTTACAGCTTCAAAACCTGGCTAATTTCTCAGAGAGACTATTTCAGGTTCCTGCATATTGCAATAGCCAAGAGGTGGCTGTGGGGAGTGGGGAAGATTTTGTCTGCAGACTCTTTCCAATTGGCTGTCTTTCGTTGGCTAAAAGTTGTCCTATGGCTCAAACCTCCCCTGTTTTCCTGGGGTGTGTCACCTGGCGCCTCTAGGCAGCCACTGGAATATTCAGAGCTTCCATGAGTCGAGCAAAGTAAGAACTAAGTCCTGGAGCTGAAGGAGAGAGCCCACAGCCCAATCCCTGCCCACAGCCCCCTCCCACCTCCAAAGTCTCCTCCTCTACCCCGTCCCTCCAAGGGTGGCAGCAAATAGTAGAGGCTTTAAGACGATGAAAACAGTTCAGAGTTCCCAGAAGTCACTTTATGGGAAAATCACACAGTGCACTGAAGCCAAGGATGCAGTGGGGTGAGCACGTAGCTTGGGGACAGTTTTACTCGTTGAGTAGAATCTCAGCATGAGTTGCCTGAGCCCTGAGTGTCTGAGCTCTTTATTGAAACAACTTTTTCGACTCACGTATGCCTAGTTGTTTTACCAAAATCTATCAGGGCAGAGGTTAGAGTGAGGCTGGGGACAGCCCTCCTCCGTGCCCTTGGAACTAGGTGTGACCTTTATCCTGCTTGGAGCCCACCTTTTTGACGGGTTCCCTCTCAAGGGCCCCATGGCAGTATCCTGCAGAATAGCCTCAGTCCGCACCCTCCGTCTCCCCACCAGCATGATTTATATCTTCCACACTCAATGATGTAAAGCCAAGGTCTGGACCTCTTTTTTCCCAGAAGTTTCCTCCAATGCTTAAGTAAACCCTGGGTACACCAAGGAACCTTGCCCAAATCCATTCCTGAACATTCCAGCCACAAATGCAAATGATTATCTTTGGAGGAAGGGTAACACCCGCTCACCCACGAGAACAGCATCTGAGCCCCAGGAACCCAGTCCAGCCGAAATGACCTTCTAAAGTCAGCTCTTGCCACATATTGTCAAATTGAGGGACACGGTCACTTTCTTACCTATCCAGATGTTTCTGGCAGTAAGTTAGCTAAGTATCTGGCCCAGGCCCTTCGCACTTTGAATGTCTGTAGTGCCACTGCTCATCTTGAGTTTCTCAGGTGAACTCCCAAAGGGAGTCCAGTGTCACATGAGGGCAGAGGGCTAGAGCGCCTGCTATCCATCCTCTATCCCCAGACGACC